TTCCGTTACTTGAAACAGAGTCAACTGAGTTACCTTTAGGCAGAGAGTAGAATACCCTGGCTAGTCAGATGTCTATAAACCCCTTTAAAAATGGGTTTCTCTGTCTCTGTTTAAAGATACATGAAGGCATTCTCAGGGGAACCAGCAGCAAGTGTACTTATGGGTCCTGAAGTATTTAGAATGTATTAAACACTAACCTGTAAAGACTGAGAACATAATAGACCATTTAAAATGAGATGAAGAGCCAGCAACCTCTGGGGAGGGTATAGCTAAGTTGTAGGGCGTGTGCTTAGCATGTACAGGGTTCTGGGTTCAATCCCCAGTACCTCCATTAACTAACTAACTAACTAAATTTCAAAAAACCTAAGTAACATCCCCTCCCCCTAGAAAACACACACACCCAGCAACCTGTTACTACAGGGCAACATAATGCTTGTACACTGAGGTAATTATTCCAAAGTAACTCCTTACTCATTAAGATGGGTAGCATCCACTTTCCTTCTGGCCAAGGTCATTTCTGCTATGCACGGTGCTCTCTTTGAATTCTGATGGAAGCTGGTTGACCATGTGTGGAGATTTCAGGGAAGAAAACAAGAGTTAGAAAGTGAAGAAATTTAGACAGTCATTCTCTGTTGTTTACAGCTACTGAAGAGAGACATGTGTAACTAGAATTTCTCCATACTCTCCACGAAAAGAAAAATAAACCTGTATTTATCATTGGTTTCAGGCAGCAATATTTTTGTTAAAAAGTAAATCTAAAATTCTTTCTAAAATACAATGTTTTTGCCTTTTGTTATTTTTCATGTTTTTCATATTGAAATAAATGACCTTTGCTTTTCTTCACCTGCCAATTAAGAATAATTTGGGGAGCCAGAAAAGTGAGAACAAAAACCACGTGTGATGAATTTTTTGATGAGGACGGTGGCCTTTATAACTTCTGTACTTAGGAAAGATTTACTGGATACTTTCACAAACCTGTTTGGCAGAGTTATCTTTTAATTAGGAAATTGATGAGAGAATAACTGTTACCAGAAATGTGCCCTTTTCCTGTTTTATGTCATAGTTTGGTTTTGATGGAGATTGTGGAATGACCCAAAGGTGCCTTAGCATGAATGAAATTGGAGCTTCATCAGTTTGTTCTATCTTGTGGTCTCAGTTTGGGGAAATCCTCAATTTGGTATCTTGGCCATTAATTAAAGAGTGATAATTCTTAGCTATTCTTGTGTGTATGATAGTGCAGATTGTTGGATAGACATTGCTTCAGTTGGGGTAGGTGGAGGGGTAGGTGAAACAGGTATTACCCTCCTGTGGAGAAGGAAGTTGGGCTATAGAGAGGTGGACTGAGTTGTTTCAGGTCACATAGCCAGTAGATGACAGAGGTGAAACTAGACACAGATGTTCTTAACCCTAAACTGTCTTCATTTTCTGTCACTTTTGCTGCTTAAAGTATAGGGTGTTGGGTGGACTTTACAGGGAGAAAGAGGATCTTGAGTTCTCTTTGAGGAACTTGAATGGAAGACAGAAATTAGCATTGTACCCAGCTGGCCCCAGACTTAAGTCATACTGAAGTATACATTTAAATTGTAGGTGTTTACAAAGATAAATCGTGCACTAACATTTGGGACTAACTCAGGGGTTTTTATAAGGACATTAACTTGTTACCTTATATGAAATTAACCTCTGATCATCGTTATCAAATGGATCTAAAAATAGTTCATATGCTCAACTCAGAGAACTGATTTCAGAATAAATAATATCCTTAGGGTACTTGGTAAATTCCCAAATGCTAGAAGAATGTATGATACTATGTTATGTATAGTTTACACAATTTAATGTTTATTGTAGTCTGTTGTGTAATTATATCTAGAAAGTACAAATTAATTAAGGCCCTAGTTACTTGGGTAAAAAATATCCACACAATTGATATGAAGGGGAGTTTGTTTTTCTTTTATTTCTCATTATTAGCTTCACTTACGCATTTGATAAACCTTTATTGATCTCTTGAAGTTTGCTAGGCATGTGCTGTGTATTGGGAAATAAAGATGGAAGTAAACTAGGTTAGTATGTGCTTCTTCTCTTGGTGAGAATATAATCTGGTATAGTCTATATAAAAAGCAAGTTGGTTAATATATTTGGAAAGACCGAAAAAAGTTAATAATTTGGTCCAGTAATTATACTTCTATAACTGTATTCTAAGGCAATGATTAGAGGTGCAGACTGGGGCAGCTTAGCCCTGGCTGAGGGCTGAGGGGTAAAAATCTACACTTGGCTTTCCTGGTTGGGCCCCACCTCCAGATGAGAGTCTGTCTGTGTCTTCCCAGAGAGGACATCCTTTCTAACTGCACAAAGGTACCCTCCAGTCTAGTGGAGGTCCTGGTGTTTACAAGATTTATGTAGGTGGAGGTGTAAGTGTTATTGGTCATGGTAAAAAAAACAACAAAACATAAACTCGTAGATGAAAATGAGGGGTAAATGTATTATGAATTTTGAGTTAGGCATTAATAAGTTGAATATTATTTCAAAATGCTCATGGTTTATTAAAGTGTGAAAAAAATTACAGAACCAGAATGTAAGATTGAAGCCAGTCTTCAAGTACCTGGTACATTCTGCTAAGAAGTTGGAACGGATTGATTGAGATACATTTTGAAGACTAGAAAGGACAAGACGTGTTTGACAGTAACATGGTGTTTTAATTCTTTCAAAGGGTACTCTATTTGGGTTTCATAATGTAAAATAGAAGGATCTGAATTTCAAGAGAATATTTCCAGTTTGCCACTGTAATGTTAAAATATTGCATTTATGTTCTATTGCTTGTGAGGTGGCGAAAGCTGTAAAATATATTAGGGGATGTGTTTTGAGACATAAGACACATCTATTTTAAAATATAGTTATTGAGGGAGAGTTGGAAGGAGGGAAGGAGATGAGTCATCAATTGATTGATTTAAAACTGGGATAAAATTAAGGGTTAGTTCCTCTTACAGGCCAAGATCGTGGAATGTGTGAATTCTGGTACATTTCATTTAAGGCTGTATAAGTGAGTGAACCCTTTTTCTGTTCAAATGTATGGAAACGTGCAAAGGAAACCTGCCTGGATGCTGCCTGCGTAGACATTGGCACAGAATGGGTGCTGCTAAGAAATCTGGGTGTGTCCCCTCTTGAGAGTGATTCCAAATGAAAAAAAAAAAAAAAGTCGACCGTGCTTAATAAGCTAGCTTCACTGAATGCCAAAGAATATTTGTCTCATGAAATGGAAATTCTGAAGCAAGTTACATAATGCCAAGGGAGAGTAAATAGGAAGACTTTCAAGATATACCCAAATGGGGCAAATGGTCTATTGTGTTCAGAACTCTCCAATCCAACAATATTTAATTCCCTTTGGTGAGCTCCAAATGGTCCTGGGGATTTGGAAGCTTTCAGAAACCACATAAATATTTACTTCATGTTGGTTTAATTTTTAAGAAGTGACATCTCTTTAATCAGATTCATTTTGAAAAATTACTTTAGTATTGGCCAACATGGAGCCACCAAAAAGTATTCATGTTAATCGGTATCAGCTATTAAGAGGATGGGAAAAAAAAAAGATCATTTCCTCTGGAAAACAGCATTACTTTAAAAATCTCTTAGTTGCTAAGAGTAACAGAGCCAGGTGCTCCAGCCGGAGTATTTGTGACTTTCATATATTAAATTTACTTTAAACCATTTTCTCCAAGCCTTCTCTCTCTGTTTCATCCCTTCCTTTTCTGTCCCTTCCTCCCTTAATCTTTATCTGCATTTTGATGTCTTGTGCCCAGGATCTGTCAGTGTCGTAGCCGGAGTTTCTGCCTCTCTTCCTTAATTTCTCCATTTTACCCTTTACATGGCTGCTAATGAGGAAGCAAAGAGCAAACAACTGAAGAAAGACTATTCTCCAGCTACTATTCTTATTATATGACTCTACTAATCAATAGATTTCTCCAATGGAAGGGTGTTACCAACATACAGAATTTTTTTTTCATTTTTAATTGATGTATTATAGCTACTGTACAATATTATATGTTACAAGTCTACAATGTAGAGATTCACAATTTTTAAAGATTATACTCCATTTATAGTTATTGGGCTATATTTCCCATGTTGTACAGTATATCCTTGTAGCTAATTTTATACCTAATAGATTGTAGCTCTTAATCCATGACCCCCGAGATTGCCCCTCCCCCTTCCCTCTCCCCCTGGTAGCCATTAGTTTGTTCTCTGTAACTGTGAGTCTGCTTCTTTTTTGTTATATTCATGAGTTTGTTTTATTATTAGAGTCCATATATAGGTAATCTATGGTATTTATATTTCTCTGCTGATTTATTTCACTTATCATAATACCTTCCAAGTTCACCTATGTTGTTGCAAATGGCAAAATTTCATTCTTTATGGCTAAGTAGTAGTAGTGTTCCGTTGTGTATATACCACATCTTCTTTATCCATTCACCTGTTGATGGCACTTAGGCTGCTTCCGTATCTTGGTTCTCGCAAATAATGCTGCTATGAACATTGGGGTGTGCATATCTTTTTCAGTTAGTGCTTTTTTTTTTTTGGATATATATTTAGGAGTAGAATTGCTAGATCATATGCTGGTTCTACTTCTAGCTTTTTGAGGGACCTCCATGCTGTTTTCCATAATGGCTGCACCAATTTACATTCCCACTAACAGGGTATGAGGGTTCCTTTTCTCCATGTCCTCACCGACATTTGTTATTTGTGTTCTTTTTGATGCTAGCCATTCTGACAGGTGTGAGGTGATATTTCATTGTGGTTTTGATTTGTATTTCCCTGATGATTAGCAGTGCTGAACATCTTTTCATGTGCCTGTTGGTCATCTGTGTATCCTCTTGGGAAAAATACCTGTTCAAGTCTTCTGCCCATTTTTTAATTGGGTTATTTGTTTTTGTTTTTGTTTTGCTTTTTTGATGAGTTGTATGAGCTGTTTATATACTTTGGTTCTCATTATTTTTTGTGTGCTTTTCTTGCAGGATCAATGTGACTCTAGAAACAAATGGATGAATGAATATCCATATGAAGAGGAAAACAATAAAGGTTGGTTAGTCAAGTTGTATAATTGCAGTGGCAGTCCTATTTTGAATATTACTTTTGGGCAATTTTTTGCATTAGAATATTTCCTTGTCTGACTATGAGACAGAGGTCAGTACCCAGACACCCTCATCTATCTATAAAGTGTAATTTTTGTGTTTAAATCCTTCAGTATAAAAAATTTATGAGGAGGCAACCCTTCTTATGCAAGTCTAGCTGTCATCAGTTTCTAGAACTGAAGCTGGGATTTTAAGAATCAACTTTCAGATGGATATTAAAAAATGGAGAACCGCTTGATACAATTGATCACTGAGACCAAAAAAAAGAGCCAGATTTTGTTTCATAAATATCAGTTTCTACTGCAAGCATAATCCTATTCCCAGTTCCGTATGCTGTATGATTGCTGTCAGATGCCATCCTCTTTGCACCTGCGGTCTTGGCTTCTGTCAGGGGAGTGGGATGATTATGAAAGGCTTTTAACTTTGATTTCTCACAGACAGTACCGGTACAAATTAGAGGGTAAAAAGAATCCCATGAACTTTAACAGTAATCAAATGCTGGATGTCACTTTGTGGTGTCTATTTGAACTTTTCTTGTACTGTATATTGATTATAATATAAAAATCATAGGTTAATACTAAAAAAAATCTACAATATGTTAAGCATCTCTATTTCATAAACTCTGGTACAGAGACGTGTGTCTCATAACTCCATATAGCTGCACAACACATGCAATTTCATATTTTCCTTCCCCCATTGCTCCTGCTACCTTCAAATAAATGTATGTCAGGTTGGTTACTTCCAGGTGATTTTCCACATTGTATCTTTCATTTAAAATTGCCTTCTTCTGGTTCAACATCCATTCATGATAAAAAATCTTATGACAAGCCCACAACTAACATCATACTCAGTGGTTAAAGGACGAAACTTTTCCTTTATGATCAGGAACAGGATAAGAGCGCCCACTCTTACCGCTTGTGTTAAACATAGTACTAGAAGTCCTACCTACAGCAATCAGGTAAGAAAAAGAAATTAAAGGTATAGAATTGGAAAGGGAGGTATAAAATTTTCTCTCTTTGAAGATGTTATGATTTTATATATGGAAAATCCTAAAGACTCAACCAAAACATTGATAGATCAATGAATTCAGTAAACTTGCAAGATACAAAATCAAGATACAAAAATCAGTAGTGTTTATATACACTAACAACAAAATTTCTGAAAAAGAAATAAACTGATCCCATTTACAATAGCATCAAACACAATAAAGTACTTAGGAATAAATTTAACTAAGGAGGTAAAAGGTCTCTTTGCTGCATACTCTAAGACATTGATGAAAGAAATTAAAGAAGACACAAATAAATGGAAAGGCACCTCATGTTCATGGATTGGAAGAATTAATATTGTTAAAATGTTAATATTACTGAAAGCTATCTATAGATTCATTGCAATCTGTATCAAGATTCCAATTACATATTTTACAGAAGTGGAAAAAACATTTCTAAAATTTATATGGAGCCTCAGAAGACTTCAGTGAATCTGAGAAAGACGAAGCAGGAGGTATCACAACACGCTTTCTGATTTCAAGCTATACTATAAAGCTATAGTCTTCAAAACAGTGTAGTACTGGTAGAAGAAAAGACAAATAGACCAGTGTAACAAAATCAAGAGCCCAGAAATAAACCCACACATATATGGTCAACTAATATTTGACAAGGGAGCCAAGAATACTCAATGGAGAAAATACAGTCTCTTCAATAAATGGTACTGGGATAATTGGATATTCACGTGTGAAGGAATGAAATTGGATCCATATCTTAGGGGACACTATTGAAAAAATTAACTCAAAATGGATTAAAGACAAAAATGTAAGACCTGAAGCCATGAAACTTTTAGAGGAAGACATAGGAGCAAAGTTCCTTGACAAAGGTCTTGGTAATGATTTTTTGGATATGACACCTAAAAAGTACAAGCAACAAAAATAGAAAGTAAACAAGTCAGACTACATCAAACAGACAAGCTTCTTCCCAGCAAAAGGAACCAACAACAAAGTGAAAAGAGTCTACAGAATGGAAAACAAGTATTTGTAAACCATAATATCTGATAAGGGGTTAATATCCAAAAATATAAGGAACTCCTACTACTCATTAGCAAAAACTCCAAATAACCAAATTAAATAATGGTCAAAAGTCTGAACAGACATTTCTCCAAAGAAGATACATGAAGGGCCAGGTGCATAAAAAGATGCTCAACATCATTAGTTATCAGGAAAATACAAATTAAAACTACAGTGACATGTCACCTCACACTTGTTTAGAATGGCCATAATTAAAAAGACAAGAGATAATATAATGCGGGTATGGATGTAGAGAAAAGGGAATCCTTGTTGCATTGGTTGGTGGGGTTGTAAATTGGTACAGCCACTGTGGAAAACATTCTGGAAGATCCTCAAAGAATTAAAGATGGAACTACCATATGATCCAGCAGTTCTACTTCTAGGAGTATATCCAAAGGTAACAAAAACACTAACTTGCAAAGGTATTTTATCCCCATGTTCGTTGCAACATTATTTACAGTGGAATATTATTCAGTCATTAAAATGAGGAAATCCTACCATTTGTGACAACATGGATGAACCTTGAATGCGTTATATTAAGTGAAATAAAGA